CCAGCTGTTGTCCACATGTCCTTCAGTACTGTCACCCCAAATAACAAAATCCTGACATTCAGTACAAAAGCAGTTACTAGGCCCTCTTTGACCCCCGCTACTGACTTCATCATTGATACCTCTTGTCCTCCGAAGGACGTGGGTGTTGATACTTCATCAGATTCTGAGATGTCTGTTAATGCTGCCCTTTTGGCTCTAGCGTATGTGGTGTGGCAAACTTGTAGCTAACATACCTCTTATGTGTAAATGGGCTGACAAAAATACTGTCCCCCACTCAGAGGCTCGGAGTGTTTATTTTCTCTCTCTCTCTTTATTTATCTCTTTGATTGTTAAAGCCATTAATGAATGAAAATGGGCAACACTGAGTCCCGCTCAACATCAGCTGACAAGGAGCTGACATAGCTGGATCTTCTGGGCCTCAGATGTTTCCCAGCTGATTTGCAGTTCAGAGTAGCTAGTTCTCAAGCTCTGATGGCAATGCATGATTTTACAAATTATTTAAGTTTTCTGATTTTTGTTTTAAACTAAACACATGCCACAGGACCAGAGGGGGGAATTTTAAACACTCATAACAGAAAGCCAGGCCATCACCAAACTCTCTTAGGACCTTGCTCAGTGCTGCCAGTGCAGCTGCACATTACATCTCTGTGGGGCAGTAGTTGTGCACGGAGTTTCTTGGCTGCAGACCCCTGGCCTGCCCTCCAGGTAAGGATCTCTCCTTTGAGGAGCACAAATTGTTCAATAGTGCCACAGACAGGTCTTTTCATTCTTTTAAAGACTCTCAAGACAACACTAGGATCTCTGGGCATCTGTATACCTGTGACAAAGAAGACACATTAGATTGCAAATAACGACTGGCTGAACCTTTCAGGAAGGAACCCAGATTCACTAACAAACAGCCATCTGCCACAGTGACTTTCCTAGTCAGTGACATCCTCAAAATGACTATGGTGACATGGTCAAAGGCTGTGAACTATCTCCCTCTCTGGAGCTTACGCTGCACCAATCCTCTCTCTGCCCTTATGGAGATTGTGTCGCCCATTTTCTGCCTTCTATCACTTTGGATAGATGGATTCTGGATGTGACTTTTATAGGCTAGTCCACTAAGTCCAGCCACCCCCTCACTGTTTTCCACATTATTTCTTTTGGAGGACCATTCTCGTGAGGGTTTCTTGAGACAGAATCTTTTGTAACCCCAATTAATGGCAGTAAAGCCTGTTCCACTGGTCTTCATTGGGAAAGGGTTCCATTCCTGGTACTACCTGGTCCCCAAGAAAAAATGTGGATGAGTGGGAAGGGGCGAGGTGGGCACTGTTGCTGGACCTTGGAACTTTAATCACCTTCACCCACTCTTGACTATTCAGAATGGTAATTCTAGCAGTGATCATTCTC